ACCAAGAAAGAAAAGCTTGTGTTTTCCAGTCTAGCCTGTTGGGGCACCATGCCCTGTCTCCAATGTCCACCCTCATCATTCCCTGGGGATCTTGCTACTCCCCTCCCCTGCTGTTCTGCTGCACTCCCCCAGTGCTTTGCCTCAGTGTGGCGGGGTCTGTTGGGCCACTTTTCTGTGGATTGGGTACAAAGTATGGATCTTGGATAAGTAGCTGTCTTCCAAATTTCCTAGCATACACAAATGAGTGCTTCCAATGTTTCATCAGTGTGTGGAAACATTCCATTTGGTACTTCATCAATTCCTGTAGCCTTGTTGTGAACTACTGCTTTCAATGTAGCTAGAACCTCTTCCTTAAGTACCATTGGTTCTTGCTCACATGCAACCTCCTGAAATGATGGAATGGCAACTAGCTCTTTATGGTACAGTGACTGTGTGTTCTTTACATCTTCCTTAGAGTCAGTATTTTGCTCATAGAGTCTTTCAACATTGCAACTTGAGGGTTAAATTTTTTCCTGAATTCTTTTCACTTTAAGATATGCTGAGTGTGTTTTTCCTTTTTGGCTTTCTAATTCTAGGGCTTTGCACATTTCATTAACATATTTAAGTTTGTTTTCTCAAGCTGCCCTTTGAAATTTTCTGTTCAGCTCATTGACGTCTTCATTTCTTCCATTTGCTTTAGCTACTCTACAATCGAGAGCAAGTTTCAGAGTCTCTTATGACATTCACTTTGATCTTTTCTTTTTTTCCTGTCTTTCTAATTACTTTTTTCTTTCTTTATGGATGGTATTCTTGATGTCTTCCCACAGCTCATCAGGCCTTCTGTCATTAGTGTTCAATGCAGCAAAATTGTTCTTGAGATGATCTGAAAATTTAAGTGGGATATACTGACTCAGGTGGTATTTTGACACTTGTGGACTTGTTTTAACTTTCTTCATGTTCAATCTGAATTCTCATATGAGCGATTGTTATTCTATTCCACAGTTACCGCCCACCCCCTGACCTACTTTTAGCTGCTGATATTGAACTTCTCCATACTCTCCTCCTACAGATACAGTCAGTTTGAGTTCTATGTCTTCCATCTGGAGAAGTCCATGTATATAATCACCATTTATGTTATTGAAAAAAATGCTATGAATAAGACATTGGTCTGGCAAAATTGTATCAAGCGTGTCTTCAGCTTTGTTTCTATCACCAAGACCATATTTTCCAACTACTGTTCCTTCCTTTTTGTTTACAACTTTTGCAATCCAATCACCATTAATTTTGTTTACAACTTTTGCAATCCAATCACCATTAATTATTATCATTGTACCTTGATTGCATGTTAGATAAATTTCTGACTGAAGCTGTTGGTAGAACTCTTCACTTTATTCATCAATAGTAGCTTTCTTGGTTGGTGAATAATTTGAATAATAGTTGTATTATTTGGATTTCCTTAAATGAGAATAGATACAATCCTATCACAGACAGCATTGTACTTCAAGATCAACGTTGAACTGTCCCTTTTGAAGATGAATGCATTGCCATTCCTCTCGATTACATCATCCCCAGTGTAGCAAACGATATGATTTTCTGACTCAAAGTAGCCAATACCAGTCAATTTTATCTCACTAACACCTAGGATATTGAACCTTATGCATTCCTTTTCATTTTTAATGACTTCCAATTTTCCAAGATTAATACATTCCAATTTACAATTATTAGATTTTTGTAGCTACTTATTTTCATGTTCACGGTAGAATGGGATTGTAGAAAAAGAGCTGGATGCTAGATATACACATCTCACTGTGTGTGTATACACATATACATGTATGCATAGACATGTAATATTCATTGATCACTACTTCTGTGTCCATGTATTAATACATGTATTCATCTGCTCAATCCCATAATAAATCTAAAATTAGTTCAGAATTGCTTTTCTCATACCAGCACAAAACGAACCTATTAACAATAGTTCAGGATTTTTCTGTTCCCTCCGTACTCCCACCTCTGACGTGATTATGTTATTAATTTGAAATCAGTTGGGTTCATTTGTTTTAGTTCCCATTCTTGTCCATTTCATTTTCATTTTCTGATTTGTGGGACAGCAATATGTTTCCAAAAGGCAAATGTAAACAATGGAGTAGACTCAGACATGTCATTACCATTGATAGAACTTCAACCCTGTTCCCTCACCCCCACCACTTATAGGTAACCAACATCATTAGTTTTAGTTTATCCTTGTTATATTATAAATCCAAAATGTGTGTATGCTTTCTTATTGGCCCTTTTTTTTCCTTATAAAAAGGGGTAATGTGTTATATGCCATTTGGCAATTTGCCATTTTCAATGAACAATACAGTTTGGAAATCACTGTCCATCAGTTCACAATTCATCAGTGCACAGATAGCCAAGGCCTTAAGCATGGTTTCTAGCCCCTTTCCTTTCTTTTTTTTTATAAATAATTTTATTGGGGACTCATACAACTCTTATCACAATCCATACATCCATCTATTGTGTTAAGCACACTTGTACATGTGTTGCCCTCATCATTCTCAAAACGTTTGCTCTCCACTTAAGCCCTTGGTATCAGCTCCTCATTTTCCCCTCCCTCTCTGCTCTCCCCTCCCTCATGAACACTTGATAATTTATAAATTATTGTTTTGTCATGTCTTACAGTGCCCAACGTCTCCCTCACTTCACTCACTTTCCTGTTGTTCATCTCCCAGGGAGGAGGTTATTTGTAGATCCTTATAATCAGTTTCCCCTTTCTATCCCACCTTGCCCCCACCGTCCGGTATTGCCACTCTCACCACTGGTCCTGAAAGGATAATCTGTTCTGGATTCCCTGTGTTTCCGGTTCCTATCTGTACAAGTGTACATCCTCTGGTCTAGCCAGATTTGTAAGGTAGAATTGGGATCATGATAGTGGTGAGGAGGAAGCATTTAAGAATTAGAGGGAAGTTGTATGCTGCTACACTGCATGCTGACTGGCTTGTCTCCTCCCCGAGACCCTTCCGTAAGGGGTTTGGGTCTCCACTCAGCACTTCCCCTCATTTACAATGATATGATTTTTTTGTTCTTTGATGCCTGGTACCTGAACCACCTCGTGGTCACACAGGCTGGTGTGCTTCTTCCATGTGGGCTTTTTCGCATCTGAGCTAGATGGCCGCTTGTTTACCTTCAAGCCTTTAAGATCCCAAACACTATATCTTTTGATAGCCGGGCACCATCAGCTTTCTTTCACCACATTTGCTTATGCACCCATTTGTCTTCAGCAATAATATCGGGCAGGTGTGTGACCACGAGGGGTCAAAGTGATCAGATATCAGGTATCAAAGAAATCATATAATTGTGTTCCCCATTCTTTCATAAGAATCACTAGACAGCTTCACTAATTTTTCCGCTGCCTTTAGCATATCTGTCTGCCCACCATTATGCTTCTTCTTCTAGTTTTAAGTTAGACATTTCTATCTCCCCTTGATATTAATTATAAAGTCTTCTTGATTTATCTCTTACAAAACATTCATGGCTTTTTATTTTCAATGTCCAACCTCACCTAACTTTTGACTAGACGAACTTCACTAATCATTTTCCTTGCTCTTTTCTTTCCATCCTTGGGTAGAATTGTGGTTAAAAAGCACATTTGACTGACCTGACTGAAAAAACAAAAGCAAAAAAACAGGTAACAGAAGAGAAGACGGCTGGATAAGCCACAGGCTAGAATGCTTTCCCTCTTTTACTGAAAGTTAGTCAAGTACATGTTTTTAATTATGTGCATTTTTCTCTGTATAAATCATTGTTTATGGTCCCAACGCTTTCAAAAGCAGAAGCCCAGATCTCTGATCCCTTTCACTACTTGAGGGGTAGGGATAGGGGGTGTTCCAAGATGATCACAAGACTCCAAATAAGCATTGCTGTAAGCACCAGGAAGAGGCAACAATGAGGCGCGTCAGAGTGAGGAGAAGACACCTTGATTTGCTTGTCATACCATCTAGATAATTTGGGAAGTGCGTAAGGATGCGGTAGGAGAGATGAGTCTTAAGCCCTGAAAGCCACACTGCCTTGCAAAGACAGATTAACTTTGTGGTGCACTCTGAGAATTGTGGTGCAGTGAGGAGAAACCTAGATTAGAATTAACACTTATTTGGCTTATACTCTCAGCACCATCTACAACTATTTGTGGCCTTGGGCAAGTCAATGTTTCTTCTCTCACTCTTCATTTCCCATTTGTCATTTGAGGGAAATGGAGGCGTTCTTTCATTTCTGTGACAGCCTATTTCTTTACTCTGTATATGACTGCTCCATTCAGCTCGCTAACTACTGAGCACTTGTGAAACAGACCCAGAGACTGCTAAACATGATGATTCTGTGATTTTTGTATGGGCCATTCCCCCTGCTATTGGGCAGAAAATTCCAGGAGACCCAACTTTTGCTAGGGGTTGTACTCAATTGCCAGAAGTGAAGAGCCCCTGACATAAGCCAAGCTTCGTGGGAGGAATACAAACAAAACAGGGAAGGCTGATATCATTTTGTCTTCCAGGACTCAGAAGACAAATTAAATGCACATTTGTCTGGGGGTTTACGATGAATTTTCAGTGTGTTGTTCATCCCATTGCTATTACGTGTTGGTTAACATCCTTGTCTTTCTCTACAGGTCTGTATAATTCAGTGGATAGCTGGATGATTGTGCCCAATATTAAGCAGAACCATTATACAGTGCACGGACTTCAGAGTGGGACTCGATACATCTTTATTGTGAAAGCCATAAACCAAGCAGGCAGCCGTAACAGTGAACCTACCCGACTGAAAACCAACAGTACGTGGTGGTGATTCCACAAAGAACTATCCCGCTTCCCCTGGTGCAGGGGAGTGTACTTACCCTGAACTGGCCCCCATACACAGCAAGAGACCAATGGCCCTGAGTAGAGAGTTTTTCTGCTAGAGATTGTTCTTTGGGAAAGGGTTTCTTAGTGCCCTCGGGAGACTTATGAACCCAAGAATATACAGAAAACAGCTATTAGAGCTTGTGAACAGTAATAGCTCATGAGGGCCCACCTCATTCCTGTCCTTAAGGGACCCAAGAAAACCTCACCGTTATCGAGTCAATTCCAACACGTAACGACCGTATAAAACAGGTTTCCGAGTCTATAAATCTTGATGAGAGTAGAAAGCCTCATCTTTCTCCTTTGGAGCAGCTGGTGGCTTCGAATTGCTGACCTTGTGGTTAGCAGCCGAACACAAATCCAACCAACACCACCAGTTGAGTAAAAAGAGCGTTATTTGTGAGTCTAATGCAACTCTTCTACAGAGAATCTGTATTAATTAGGAATGCTTTTGACTGCAAGTAATAGAAAATCCAACCAACAGTAGCGTAAACCAATTGTTTTGTGGGTGTTTTTAATTTTTTTTTTCTGTCTCACATAGCGAGAAGCTGAAGGTAGGCAGTTCAGTGCTGATGTAGCAGCTCTGTGGTGAGAGAAGTGACCTAGGCGCTTCCGTGTTGGCTTATTACCCCGTGCTTGCAAGTTGATGGCTACAATCTCTGGATATTGTATTTCCTTTCAAGGGGTTGTTGCTAGTATGTGCCATCAACCGGAATTCAACTCCTAGAGACCCTGCGTGACAGGGGGCAGGGGCTCCATAGAGTTTCGTGGCTGTAATCTCGATAGGAAGAAACTACCAGGTGTGTTCCTGCAGAGCGAAGGTGGTGGGTTCCAGCCACTGACCTCTCCGCAGCAGTGTGTGTAAGCGCTGTGACTTTACACTGATCTCACTGCCATGGAGTCAGGACTGACTCGGTGACCGCCCTGTGGGTTTCTGAGGCTGTAATTGTAAACAGGAGTAGAAAGCTCAATCTTTCACCCCAGGAGCTGCAGCCCAGTGCGCAACCACTATACCACCGGGACTCCTTTCTTCAGTTATCCTTTTATCTGGAAGACAGAAGCTTCCCAGAAGTTTCTCCCACCCCCGTCTGACTTCATTAATCAACCCTGGTGGCAAAGGAAGAGCCCTGGCGGCATGAATAGTGGTTACGCATTGAGCTGTTAATCGCAAGGCGAGTCGCTCAAAACTACCAGCAGTTCCATGGAAGAAAGACGATGCTTTCTACTCCTGTAAAGAGTTACAGTTTCAGAAACCAATGGGGGCAGTTCTACCCTGCCTTCTAGGGTCGCTAGGAGTCAGAATCGTCTCCATGGCAGTGAGTTTGGTTTGTTGGTGTTTTAGTGTGGCAAGGAAAAGGAGCCCTGGTGCCTCTTTTGGTCACCACAAGGTTGGTGGTTCAAGCCACTCTGAAGGACAAAGAAGAGGCTATCTGCTCATGTCAAGACTCACAGCCTAGTGTAGGGTCACTCTGAGTTGGCAGCGACTCAGTGGCCATAAGTAGGATAGGAGTGCTGCAGCGCAGTTGTTTAAGCACGAGGCTGGCTCAGCAAAGGATCAGCTGTTTGAACCCACCGGATACCGGGCAGGAGAAAGATGTGGCAGTCTGCTGCCAGAAAGATGCACAGCCTTGGAAACGCCGTGGAGTAGTTTTCTGCCCCCTATAATGTCACCAGGAGTCAGAATAGGATTACTAGGAGCAGGTTTGGGTTTTTGTTTTCTCCTAGTGGCAAGGGTGGTTGGTACAAAAGGTGACACAAGTCGGTGGCTGGACACTCCCACCCCACCCCAGAGGCACCTGAAAAGGTAGCCCTGGGGATCTGCTTGTGAAACAACCCCCCTTGACAACTCTACACACAAGTTGGAATTGATTGGACAGCAACTATCAACGGTTGCAAAGGAGGCTGAAGAATTGCATATTTAACTTTTCCAGCCTCTTTCATGAAAGCAAAACTCCACAACCAAACTCACTGCCATTCAGTTGATTCCGACTCATCGCAACCCTATAGGACAGAGCAGAACTGCCCTGGTGGTTTCCAAGACTGTTAACCTTTATGGGAGTAGAAATCTTCATCTGTCTTTCAAAGAGTGGCTGGTGGTCTTGAACTGCTGACCTTGTGGTTAGCAGCCCAACTCATAACCCATTATGCCAACAGGGCTCCTTTTGTGGGTATGAGTGCTTGCTGGCCAACAGTGTCTGCTAACATAAGCATTTTGCATAGTAAAGCTATTGCCATACCGAGCCATTGGCCCCAAGCTTCTGTCATATGGTTTTAAGGAGTTCTCTGCTGAACAGGATCCTAACATAACTGTTTTCTGTGCTCATTAATGATGTGAAATTCTCTTTTAACCAAATGGCCTAATTAAATGATATGTTGTGTACATCCCAATTGCAAGAAGGCAAAACCTTGTTCTGTGGCCGAGTTCCTCTCTGCTGCTCCCCTACTGTTAGCAGGCAGCAGTGGTTCATCATTTCCGGTTACTTTCTTTTAACTCAAACAATGACCACCTGCCGTGGTGTCAGGGTTTTCTAGAAAAACAGAGCCAATAAACTAAGTGCGGGTGTGCGGGTTTAGGGGCAAGAGGGTGGGGGAAGACAGAGAGAGAGTTCATGCTATTATACAATTATCAAGGGCTGGCAAATCCATCATCTGTAGGTGAGTTGCCAGACTGGAGATTCCTGTAGTTTTGTGTCCTCAAATCTGTAGTTCAGGTGGTTGACTTCCGTTTTTATTTTTTATTGAAAACTAAGGCTTCATGCCCGCTTCCTTAAAATAACCTAAATAAGCACCAACATACACTCACCCAAGAAGGCCCACTAGATGATGGTTCCGCTGGTAGTGAGTCTCCTGGACTCTAAAGGTTGAATTCTTCCATGCATCATCATACGCTTTCTTTTTTCTATTTTTTTTAAACTAGGCCAACCCTTTAAACTGGACCCCAAAATGACTCACAAAAAGTTGAAGCTCTCCAATGACGGATTGCAGATGGAAAAAGATGAAAGCTCTTTAAAGAAGAGCCACACCCCAGAGAGGTTTAGTGGCACAGGGTGCTATGGGGCAGCCGGAAATATCTTCATTGACAGTGGCTGCCACTACTGGGAAGTGGTCATGGGCGCCTCAACATGGTGAGTGGATCCTACTTTTCTCTTCTTTTTCCTCCCTTGTTAGATTGCTGGGAGCTTCATTTCCATAGCAACCACGATGACTTGTAAGTCAAGGTTAAAAGGTCTGTGATAAAAACTGCTAGGAGCTGGAAGTCAATTACTTCACTCTAATTGCCAACTTTTAAAGGTGCTAGTCATGCTGCTGAAGGTAAACTGTTTAAAAGAGAGACATCTCTTCTGTGTGTTGTATACTTTATTTGGTGCCTGACAGAACTTGGATCATTAATGAATGATTATGTGTATCTTCTGTCCACTGTCTCACAGGTACGCTATCGGTATTGCTTACAAATCAGCCCCGAAGAATGAATGGATTGGCAAGAATGCTTCCTCGTGGGTCTTTTCTCGCTGCAATAGTAACTTCGTGGTGCGACATAACAGCAAGGAGATGCTGGTGGACGCGCCCCCGCAGCTGAAGCGTCTGGGCGTCCTCCTGGACTACGACAACAACACGTTGTCCTTCTATGACCCGGCTAACTCTCTCCATCTTCACACGTTTGATGTGACCTTCATTCTGCCAGTTTGTCCAACATTCACAATCTGGAACAAATCCCTAATGATCCTGGCCGGCTTGCCTGCCCCAGATTTTATTGATTACCCCGAGCGACAGGAATGCAACTGCAGGCCTCAAGAATCCCCCTATGTTTCGGGGATGAAAGCTTGCCATTAAGTTTCCAGGGAGCAGATAATTCACTAGCTCTCCAGTTCAGCAGTAGATGGTTTTGTTTGTTTTTTTTTATTTTTTAAAGCCCCTCTTAAACCTCAGTTAGTGTTCGAGCTATGCGAAACAAAATAAAGTTTGTTTGAAGCATCCAAAATAACTAGATATTTTAGATTTAATTCCTGTGCATTAAAACTTGTATACGAATTAATGTATTGAGTTTCTCAGAGGGAGTTATCTGCATAGTCTGGTTTAAAGCCATTGGAGAAGAAGTTGAGAGAATGTCTTTCCTGTCTTGAAATTAGGAGAATTTCAAATTCCAGTGATGTAGGAGTAAGTATAAGTGATATTGGAAGGAATTGGGGTAATTTGGGGTGAAAAAATGTAGGAAGTTTTTTCTGAGGCAGGGGGCTAGCCAGTTGGGGGAAGGTGGGGAAGGAGATCAGACTCATGACTAGTTCTGGCTAATTTGGCCAAGTAGAATTTTGAACAGTGTCAGATGACCACATATTATATATAGCTTTTGATAAAAACCTACAATTGTGGGTTTATTATAATGAAAACATATGTATATATAATATTTAGTGAATAAATAATATATATTCATTTTATATTTATATATACATAATAAACTCATTAATTTGCTCATTTGAGTGAGAAATATACTGAAAGGGAAATATACATTCATTTTGTCCCCTAAAGAGAGCATCAAGATCTTTCAACATCTCTCACTTCATCCACACATGCATCCATCTATTTACCCACCCACCCATCCACCCACCCACCCATCCATATACACATATAATCATGATACGTAATGGGAAGAGCTCTAAAACGGATTAGAAGAGATTTGGGGATCAAGATTGCACAAGAGGTCCTCTCAATAGGTGAACATTGATCCAGATAGAAGTGTTATATGTAACAAAACTTCTGTGATGCTACTTCATGAGGAAGACCAGTCTGAATTGTTGAAAATTCTTTCACAGAATATTTTGAGTAGAAACTGTTTTAATACTCTTCGAGTATACATTATTACTAGAATTAGCCATTAAAAAAAGAGTTACATAAAGAGGTTCTTTAGGATCCTGCTTTAATTAGTCATTCAGAATGTTGCTATTTATGCAATAACTGCGTATAAATGTCTTTCTATTTTCTGATAAAACACGTCTGATGTACTTAAAAATCCCTGGAAACAATTTTTGTTTTCTTAAATAGATTAAAGAATTATTACTCCTGCAATCTTGTTTACACCGCTCATTTGCATAGCCAATCCTTTAAGACTAGAGCAGAGGAAAATTTCATCCCAGTCCTCGCTAGTGTAGTTGAGAGAAGAGTTTTATGGTATATTCTTTATCCATTTCCATTTCAGGGATGGAGGAAGTCAGAGAACCAATTTTTTCTCCTTTCTAGGAGCTAAGTCAGCTTCCTAGAGTATACTTTGGGGGAGTTTTGAAGAAATATTACTGTTGTACAATTATAAAGTGGTAGCTAAAACAACTCTCCAACATGGAGCTTTGAAATAATGTCCAAATGTCTCCCCACCAGTTTGGTGAACTAATTCAACGAACTACTATATCCCAAGTACCACATACTTCTATTGGTGGGCACAAACAAGGGAGATTCTAAACGTTTCTGGGAAAATGGAATCCAAAAATCATGGAAATCTTCCCCCAATTTTTGAAAGCCTTCCCCCGCCCCCCCACCCACACACGGTATTTGTTTACATTGAGCAGATCAGCTGCAAAAGATCTCCTTAAAGTGTTAAAAAACAAAGATAATGCTTTAGGGACTAAGGCTCGCCTGACCCAAGCCTTGGCATTTTCAATTGCCTTGTATGCATGTAAAAGCTGGGCGAAGTATATGAAAAGTCAAGGAATTGATGCCTTTGCATTATGGTGTTGGTAAAAAACACCATGGACTGCCAGAAGGAGGAAGTGAAGATGGCGAGACTTGGTCGTCAGGAGGGACCAGTCCCTGGGAAAGGTCATTATGCTAAGTAAGGTTGAGAGGCAGCAGAACAGGCTGGTTTGACACTGTGGCTGCACCAGTGGGCTCAAGCATGACACTGGTGGTGAGGCTGTCACCTGACAGGCCTGTGTTTCAGTTCTGTTGTACTATGAGTGGGAATGGAGTTGACAGCACCTAACAGCGGGTCTACTATTTTGTAGAAGAGAAAAAGTATGTATGTAACTCCCCAAATTAAGACTTATTTGTGCGTAACATGGTTACACATCGGGCTGCTAACCAGAAGCCATTCTGCAGGATAAAGAACAGGCTTTCTACGCCTGCAAAGGGTTTCCGAATCCCCCAAGGACAATTCGGTCCTACAGGGTCACCATGAATTAGCATCAACTCGATGACCGGGTTTGGTTTCGTTTGAGTTCAAACATACAGATTCAGTGGCAAAGCAAGCTTTTTGGTTGTATAAGACTAACTAGTAATCAGGAAATTTCCAACCTCAGTAAGAATCTACATCGCTGGTAAGTAGCTTGCTGTAGTGGAAAGATCATCGCCTTGGGACTAACAGAATCCAATGGCCTCTGCCATTGGTTAGTGGTGTGGCTTATGGCAAGCCGCTTCACTTCTCTGAGCCGGTTTTCTCTTCTGCAAAATAATACCTACCTCACAAGATTGACGGAAAATGCCTAGCCCAGCACCTAGCCCTTAGTGAGAGTGTAATGTTAATTTCCTCTTTGCCCCTTCTCTCACCTTAATGTGTGCCCTTCATTTCTAAATTAACCTGGCTTTCTTGCTAGCGACTATCTCAAAATTCTTAAACCAAATGATGCTTCCCCCTTTCATAAAACAATTCACTGGCTCTCATAACTGAGGTAGAAAGAAAGCCAGACCTCCCGTGGGTTTGGCTTTTCAAAATCCTACTTCCTTTCCCAGCTTCATCTTTTGCCACCCTTTCACCCAGGTTACTCACCTATTTATGCAATCTGTTTTATGGGCTTGAATCAAAGATTTGATAAAAAACAAATCTTGACTCCAGGGTAAATAGTAGGAAATGTCCTTAAAGGAATAGTATGAACATGGTGTAAATCTATATCACTCCACCCAGGACCCTTGTCCAATTTCCTTTCCCATGTCCTTGGGTCTCCCAATCCATCTATTTTGGTGCCCATTGACCTCGGGCCTGACTGCCTTTCCCTGCCCCTATCCCTCCCAACCAGGCGAACTCCTGACTTAACTAGACTCGGGACTAATATGTCACCCCGAGCATCTCTTCTCTCAGTAATAACTGCATTGTATAGCAGCCTTTTATCAAAGTGTGATCCTCAGACCACCTACATTAGAATCCGCTTTGATGTGTGTAAAAGCCATTGATTCCTAGACCCTTCCCCAGACGCACTTAGAGTATCTGGGAATTTCCTTACCGAGCTCCTCATGTGATTCTGAAGCACACAAAAGTCTAATGTATATTAATCATCTTCCCTGCTGGGCTGTGAATACCTTTAATGGAAAGGACTGCGTGCTTATTGTTATTGTTGTATTTTTAATAGCTGGCATACTCTTTGTAACAGTCAATTCCTGGCTTGTTCATGGAATGAATGATCAAGGATCCTTCCTGTTCTCTGATGTTCATACTGGTCTTTGTCATCCCCTGGAAGCTACTACCTTAGGATTTTTTTTTGAAGATGAGGCACCATTATGTTTCATCTTTTCAAATTGTGTTCTCTGATAGAGAATTAAACGTGGGGTTATAGCTAAAAATGATTCCGAGCAAAACTGTTGGCTAAAATGGGAAACTAAACTGGATTTGGGTTAACTAGTGAAGCTTGACTGAAAAAAAATGTAGTGAATCTTAGATAGTTCAGTAAACTTCAGGCTTTCAAAGAGTTCTAGTAATGCCATAGGCCTTTAAAGAAGGCACTGATTACTTCTTGGTAAACCAAGTTGGACATAGAAAATAGGACCTATACTTAACATCTTCAGGGAATGTGACTGTGTAATTATTTTGTTGTTGTTCTACTCAATCCATTACCATTCAACTCTTTCTGCTAGCAAAGCATTCTTTTCATCTGTGATTTATGCTTATTTCCACCTTTGTATATTGTCTTATGAAGAAAGCACAAAAATACAAAAGAGACCTGTTTCGAGAATATAAAAGAAATGTTTAATGACACATTGGGGTTCTGGTTACTTGTAAGAGGAACTGAATCTGGATGTGTATTTAATCATGTAATTTCCTTGTGTAATTTTTGATGCAGTGAATTTCGGGCCGTAGCAAATCCGTTGTTTCTTTTCAGCTAAAACACACTAGGTGCCACGGATACCCTTCCTTCCAAGGAATGGGTGAATGTGAGGCCTGTATACAAGAACCACTCCCACCCTTATTTCCAACTCCTAAAGCCAATTTGCAGCCTCTGAGCCATTAGGCTGTATTTGGCCATGGTTGTCCAGATTGACTGCCATCATACCAGGTACAACTGCCTTTTCGGGTCTGGTCTGCTAGCTTCAGATGTATGCTGTGTTGTTGCTATTGGCTGGAATATTTATTAAACTCTTGTACTATTTTTTATCAAATGCTTAACCCCTTGTTTGTACTAGGAGTTCTGGACTCTTCTAGTGACAGAAATCTGAGCATATGCAGATTACAGTCTCACCCCTCTACAAAATATCCCGGCTCATTCAAAATGCTATATTATGAAGTCAATAAATATCTATGTATTCATGAATTCTTGGTTGTCTCTCACTGGATTTAGTTGGGGGGGGGGGTTGAAAGGAAGATCATCCTGACTTACTAGAATTGGGTAATTGACTTGGAGGAAACCTATCCTCACTTCATAGATTGAGATCTGGGAAGAGACTGTCCAAGAAGTCTGGCATGTAAGAGTCACTTAACAAGACTTTGCTTTTAGGGGCAGAATACATTCAAGACTACAGAAACAAAGGTATAAGATTCAAGGAAACATGTTCAGCTACACACATTGGTGTAGAAGGTGGGACCAAGAACAAATTCCATCGTTTGAGGTCAGGGTCTGGGTAGAACCTTCAGTAAGTTAATTGATTTCCTAATTACCTGGCCTGTGGCAGGCTCCTGAGGGGTTAGGAGATCCCTTAACACTGCAGTTGGACCTAATTTATCACACTTAAACGTCTGAACTTTTACAAGCACTTTTATCATCCTACTCCAGCCGGCCTTGACCGGGCATCCCCAACTGCTTCTTGATAAGTTAGTGATCAATAATATGCCAGTAGAAGGTGGGCAAAATGCACACCCTGTCCAATGTCTCCCACCTCCCTGTCTGAACAAAAGAAAATGTTAACAAGGACTTTCTTGAAATAATGTTTTTGGTGTCTCATGTTTAGGCTTAAAAGAGTCCAATGGCATGATGAGTAATACAACCTTCCTCTAGTTCCTAAAGGTTTCCTCCCCGCTCCCACTACCATGACTCGAATTCTATCTTGCAAGACTGGCTAGACCAGAGGAGGTACACTGGTACAGATAGGAACTGAAAATACAGGGAATCCAGGACGGATGAGCCCTATAGGACCAGTGGTGTGAGTGGCAAAACAGGGAGGGTAAAGGAAGAATGGGTAGGAAAGAGGGAACCGATTACATGGAACTGTGTGTGACCTCCTCCCTGGGGGACAGACAACCAAAAAGTGGATGAAGGGAGACGTCGGACAGGGCAAGATATGACAAAATACCCATTTATAAACTATCAAGGGCTCATGTGGGAGGGGGAGCGGGGAGGGAGGGGAAAAATGAGGACCTAATGTCGGGGGTTTAAATGGAGAGAAAATGTTTTGAGAAATGATGTACAAATACGCTTTACACAATTGATGTGTGTATGGATTGGGATAACAGTTGTATGAGCCCCTAATAAAATGTTTAAAAAAAAAAAAAGAGTCCAATGGCAATTCCATGACAGGTTTGCAGGGACTATATTTGGGGCCAGCAGTAATATTTTTAAGAAAATAAAATATAGATGCCAGCTCTCAATAGGGCTGGCGTTGTGCTCAGAAACCACACAGATCATGTGCTATTCCTCCAGCCATAGTGAAAGTCCCAGAAGATGAAATTTGAGTCAATCTCACTTTGAGGCATAGTGGCAGGAATGAATTACAATCTACTTATCTTTTCATCTAGGTCAACTGCCTTACTGATAAGGGAGCCTAGTGCCTTTGAAGTTCGGTTTTGACTCATGGTGACCTCCTGTGTGTCAGTAGTATTGCCACGACTTTCTTCCGAGGGTTTTCTGGATGGACCACCTAGTAGTTGTAGTGCTTACATGTTGGGTTGTGGTCTGCAGGTTCAGCCGGTCATAACCACCAGCAGGAATAAGGGAGAAAGACTGGGCTTTCTATTCCCATAAACACAGTCTTACAAACCAACCGGTGTGTATGGGGGAGGTGTACTCTGAGTCAGCATTGACTTGATGGCAGTGAGTTTGGTTTTGAGAGTAGTTCCAGTGATAAGGGAAAGTGCTATAATATACAAGAACTGTGAAATTCACAGCCAGCACACAAGGCAAGGCAAGACTTAGCCCAAGGCCAGGCTGATTTATCCAGTCAAGATAAAACAAGTCACTTTCCCATTCAGGCCATTCACTACTTACACAACAGAGTGAACTAGGCAAAGCTTCCAGTTCCTTGTGGACCTTATCCCACTCTCTAAAAAGGGCACCTCCCAAACAAAAGGGGATGGCGAACTGCAACGTTGAGTAGCGGGGTATTAGAGCTAAGAAGGGTTGGACTACCACAAGGTCAGCGGTTAAAATCCACCAACTACTTGGTGGGTGCAAGATGAGGTTGTCTGCTCCGGTAAAGATTTGCGGAGCCTGGCAAATGCGATTTTGGGTTGCCATGAGTCACCATCGTCTCGATGGCTGTAGGCTAGTTTTTGTTTTTAAGGAAGCCCATTCCGGATCGCAATGGACTGGCTTTATAGTCTGTAACTCTTCTGATGCGGACGACAAAGGGAGCCTAATATCGAGATAGCTGAATAGGAGGTGACCTCAAAGTTCTTCTGAGACTTCCCGCCTCCCCTTCCTGTGATCCGGGAGAGCCAGAGGGTTCTCTCAGGACTCGATAACCTGTGGCTCAAGTTTTTTCCCTTTGGGGATAGTACAAAAATCTCCAGGTTGCTCTAGGGGAGATAATTAACCCTTCGTGTTCGATGGAGCCAATAATAATAATCTCCATCGAACATGAAGGGTTGATTCCCGAGCCAGTGCTCAGACCAGCAGATTCCTCTGACCCTGGCGAGCAAGTTTAAAGCCCAGCTCAGAGGAAGCATCTTAGCCCAGTGACTCCTGAAGTCGGGAGAGGGGGGACCAGGAGGGAATTCTAGGTCTGGGCTCAAACTGAAAAATAAAAAATTCTCGGCCATCCAGGTCTGCACAAGACATCCCCCCTAAACGACTTTGTCCCCACTCTCCTACCTTTTCTAGCCCGGCCCTTCCCTGTGGGCCGCCTCCTCTCTGAGTCATTTCTCCTCTCTGTCCCAAACACCTTGGCTCCAGCTCCGAAACCCTGGCCCACCTGCGGAAATTCGGGAGAGCCAACTGGCCGAAAGAACCAGGTGTGTGCTTTTCCCAGTTAGGAGGCGGGACCAGCACCTCGCCGCTCCAACGCCCCCGCTGCTTCAGCGGCCTGGGAAAGAGGCTTCCCGGCGGG